CGTAAATGTTACTTAACAGGATCCATCTCCCAAATTGCAAATATTTGCAGCATGACTGGCATCGTCTTTGTATTGCGGAGGCTTTGCTGAAAAACTACCGGATGGAATCCGAGCGGCCTACCTGGACCAAGTTGCTGGATGCTGCATCATCATTTGTGATCTTGGGCTTTGCTGGTCCCTTGCGCCAGCCTCGCGCTATTATACTATATGGCAAAATACAGAAGCATTGTTCCTGGAGGCGTGCTTCTCGAACGGATCCTATGTCATTCTTCAATCCACCGGTTTCCTGCAGCCACAAAGAAGAATACCGTCCCTGAATACACTCTTTCTGTCGCTCGGTTTCGCGCTACTAGCTGTACCTGCCACACACGCAACGACGGCAAACAAGTGGTTTGAGGCCAACCCAACGGAATCGGACACGAAACTCTTCTCTTCGGCATTGGAGGACTTGACCATCTACAACCCCAACATTGCGGAATTTATCTGCTCGCGAAGTGTGGAAGCTCTCTATAAGAAAGCTCCCTCGCGCGGCGTTACGAGCTACAACTTCGTGGTGAACGGTTGCCTGGTGAGAAGTGAGTATGTCGGCCGTTGTTTCGATTCCTTCTTCTACCCAGAGTGCGGAAACTTCGACGTGCTCATTACGTCTGGATCGAAGAACAAGGCACTGGAGGTGAAGTCTATCAAGGTTCACAAGGTGAAGGCAAAGGCGACGAAGAATTAAAGGTGATACACTGCCCGATCCGGCTACTTCTCAAAGCAAACAACCGTGTTATGTTTTTCACGATTTAACGTAAGCCCAATACAATGTGTCGTGGATGTATGGAATGTAAATGTAGTGAGATCATGGTGAATGCTAGTAATACAATTGTTCTAGTCTGAAACCTGCTATTGCAGAGATCGCCTGGATGGCAGGATATATACTAGGTCACTGACGACTTTGGTCACGCCATAATCATTGACTTTGGTCGCGTGACCAATCCAGCTGATCACGTATTAGCGCGTGTCC